GTCTCTAGCTAATGAAATCTTAGATAACTGCAAGCAACTTTTGAGACAAAAAAATAAATAAAGCACACCATACGTTTTTCTACATGACATAAAGCATCTTTCTTTTCTTTTCTTTTTTTTAAAAAATATATTTTATTGATTTTTTACAGAGAGGAAGAGAGAGCTAGAAACGTCGATGAGAGAGAAACATCGACCAGCTGCCTCCTGCACACCCCCTACTGGGGATATGCCCGAAACCAAGGTACATGCCCTTGACCGGATTAGATCCCGGGACCCTTCATTCCGCAGACCGAGGCTCTATCCACTGAGCCAAACCTGTTTCGGCTTAAAGCATCTTTCTTAAAAGTTTACATTTTTATTTTGATGTTTGGTTTTCATTTTTAAATATATATATATATATATTATTGATTTTTTTTAATAGAAAGGATGGGAGAGGGATAGAGAGCCAGAAAGATCGATGAGAGAGAAACATCAACCAGCCGCCTCCTGCACAGCTCCTACTGGGACCGGAATCCAACCCAGGACCCCTCAGTCCACAAGCCAACGCTCTATCCATTGAACCAAACGGTTTCAGCTGATGTTTGGCTTTCAAATCCATGTATTTGTAGACTGGATTATTAACTTAAATTTCCTTTTACATGCAAAATAAATAACCCAATGAAAAGGTTCTAATTGAGGAAATGTCATAGTACCCTCTCTGAGCGCAGAAACTATTAATCCATCAGCTGAGGGATGTCCATCTCTGCCTACCACTATACTGTAAACAAGAATGTAGGTTTAGAGTTCGAAAGGACTGTGTGTATAGATATATATAGATAGATAGAGAGAGACACGGCCTGAGGTCCCTAGTCAAGCCCCACCAGGAGGGTGCACCCTCAGCTCCCCCATCAAGCCCTGCTGGGTGAGGGGTACAGCCTCAGGTCTCCCATCAAGCCCTGCCAGGCGGAGTGTGTGGTCTGAGGTCCCTCAACCTGGTGCGGGAGGTAGGGGGAGTGGCCTGAAATCCCCTATCAAGCCCCAAGGGAACAGAGAGGATGTAGCCTCAGGTCCCTGTTGATTGCTCCTTAAGGCTCCTTATGGGAACTTGGCCTCAGCTGTGGGTGCAGCCATCTTTGTGATGGAGTGATGGTCAATTAGTATATCCCTACTTTATTAGATAGGATTGTTACCTGTTAACTATCCTGTCCTCATCTGTGTGTGTAAAGGAAACACATGTCTATTATTTTAATGTTTAGCCAATCACAGGTTTCCCACTTTGCTTTCTCCCACCTCCCTGATCTACCACCAACAGATTTCAGATAACACACTTGAGGGTAATTTATAAAAATAGGTGAAAAACCACCATTCTCTGGTGCATTATCTTAATTTATTGAGGTTCTGCTTCCTGGCAAAACCTCAATGAATTAAGTGGACAGTTTGGGTCCAATAAACTCACAAACATTCTTTGCAGGTTTGATGTTCCTCATGTGAACAGCTGCAATGTAAGGAACACGGAGTCAGCGACTAGCAAGCCTTGCTATGCTGGCCAAGGACAGTAACGATGGTCAAAGGTCACAGCATGACACAAAAATGACAGGACACCCAGGACAGAGACGGAGCTGGTGCTCACACCTCCATCTCTCCGGAAGGGATGAGGGAGGCAGAGGGTGCTCTCTCTTTGAAATGGAGGATATGAGAACGGAGGCCCGATTGGGAGAGAGCTTTCCGTCCCCTCTGGGGTCCTGGCTGCCCGGCCTTTGGCCCATTTTCTACCCGAAGGGGCGCTTCTGGGTCCGCTCTTGGTTCTACATGGATCTGACGTGAGTCTCAGGGTCTCTGATCCTGGACTCGAGATCGCATCCCAGCACTGGCCTTGCTCAGCGAGTCTGGGCGCCCTCCCTCCCGCTCGTCCGGGGAAACAGGGAGAAGTCGGCTGAGTGGCTGGGCTCCTCCTCCCACAGGGTCTGTTTGGGGAGCCCCACCCGTCCTATTTAGCTCAGGGGCTGGCTGCAGGGCCCGAGGATCCATACACTTAAGGGGGGGGCGGGGGGGAGGCGTGATCTCAGGCAGACCTAGCAGGAAAATCGCCCAGAGGTCTGTCTGGCACATAGGAACCCAGGGCGGGCTTTTCAAACATTCCCGGCGCCCAATGAGAGCGGGGTGGAAGCAAAAAAGAAATATTGGCTGTTGTGGCAGGAGGCCAAAGGCAACGCCTCTTCCAAAAGGCCTGAAAGAACCAAACTAAAGAAATTAAAAAATATATATACATACGCACACACACATACGAGTTCGGGGGACAAAATGTTAACTGGTGGATGTAGAGGAAAATGTTCAGGGTATTATTCTTATAATCTTACTATAGGTTTAAAAAGTTTTAAACAAGAGGGGGGAAAAGAACCCGAATGAACCGGCAGACACTGGCACCTACTCATCCAACCACGATTTCCCTCTCTCCAGGGGCGTTCCTCACTCAAACCAGCCCTACCACTCTCTCCCCTCCCTCCACCCGCATCCGTTAAGAAAACTCAGAGGGAAACTGAGCCAGCTGTTTCTGTGAAGGCGTGGGTGGCTCTGAAAAGAGCCTTTGGGGTTGGGAGCCGGGCCCTGGCGCTCACTTGGAGCTGGTGTACTTGGTGACGGCCTTGGTGCCCTCGGACACGGCGTGCTTGGCCAGCTCGCCGGGCAGCAGCAGGCGCACGGCCGTCTGGATCTCGCGGGACGTGATGGTGGAGCGCTTGTTGTAGTGCGCCAGGCGCGACGCCTCGCCCGCGATGCGCTCGAAGATGTCGTTGACGAACGAGTTCATGATGCCCATGGCCTTGGACGAGATGCCGGTGTCGGGGTGCACCTGCTTGAGCACCTTGTACACGTACACGGAGTAGCTCTCCTTGCGGCTGCGCTTGCGCTTCTTGCCGTCCTTCTTCTGCGCCTTGGTCACCGCCTTCTTGGAGCCCTTCTTCGGGGCGGGCGCGGACTTGGCAGGCTCAGGCATGGTCGGGAGGAGCCGCTGAAAAAGCTGGGGAGCCACTGGACGAGTGTGAGTGAAGCTGCGGGTGTCCTCCGGTCCCGGCTCCTTAAAGGAGGCGGGAGTGAAGGCGTGTCCGACCGGTGGCGAGTCCCGGCACGTCACAGGGTGTCGTCCACTGAGAACCAGGGCATTTCAGACCCGGGACCCCATTGGCTCAGGGAAAGGCTGTGACCCGCCGCCAATGGCACAGATTCACTCTCGCGCCCCGGCGCGACTATAAAGGGGGAGGCTCCGGGCGCTTCAAGGCAGACCCAGGTCTGAGCAGAGGCTTTCTATTCGCCATCATCATGTCTGGTCGCGGGAAGCAGGGCGGCAAGGCGCGCGCCAAGGCCAAGACGCGGTCCTCGCGGGCTGGGCTGCAGTTTCCAGTTGGCAGAGTCCACCGCCTGCTCCGCAAGGGCAACTACTCGGAGCGGGTGGGCGCGGGCGCGCCCGTGTACCTGGCGGCCGTGCTGGAGTACCTGACGGCCGAGATCCTGGAGCTGGCGGGCAACGCGGCCCGCGACAACAAGAAGACGCGCATCATCCCGCGCCACCTGCAGCTGGCCATCCGCAACGACGAGGAGCTCAACAAGCTGCTGGGCAAGGTGACCATCGCGCAGGGCGGCGTGCTGCCCAACATCCAGGCCGTGCTGCTGCCCAAGAAGACCGAGAGCCACCACAAGGCCAAGGGCAAGTGAGGAGCAAGTCGCAGCGTTCCAAACCAAAGGCTCTTTTCAGAGCCACCCACACCCTCAGCGAAAGGGCTTGCACTTTCTCTTTGTTTAAACAGCTGCTGGAGAATGGCTTTTACCGCGTTTCATCAGTAGATGTCAGTAAATACCCATGAGTGAAATTTAACCAAACATTAAAAAGATACATTAAGCAGAAAAGTTAGCAACCAAGCAGAAACAAGGTGTTAGGTTTCAGTTAATTAAGGCAATCAATGACGCAATTGTGTACAATGGGAATGGTTGGACAAAGTTGACTAAGTGCAAATGTAGTTAAAGACCGGCAATAAAACTATCTTTTCAGTCAGTTATTGGGTAGTTTCGCATCTTAATAGGATAATCACCTACAGGTGGGTCCGCAACTTCACTGGGCCTTAACTGTTTGCAAATAGGAAAACAATACTGGCTGTAGTCATGCACATTTCTTTTTTTGTCTGGTCTTTCCTCTTTCACCAGCCCCATGTCCTTAGGCAGAACTTAATAACAGTCTTTAGCATTACTTTAAAAAGGCTCTTAGTAATCTTTGCGTCATTTATAAATTTGAGTATTTTTCCTCAAACTTCATTTTACACAAGCCTCAAGTAAAAATGTAAAAGGTAGTGGAATGCTTTCTATGAGGAAGCTGATTAGTGGGTGATACATATATTAATGTAGTTGCCACAGAAAATAAAATCACTTCAATTAATGGTCTTGTTACATTTAGGAAAAGTATATGAAAACATGCAAAATGTTTTCATATATGAAAAGTATATGAAAACAGGAAATGCAAAACTCTCCAAGTTCGGGGGTGGGGGAAGGGATAGTTTAAGGTCAAACGTGAAAATCAAGCAATTTACGTTGAAATGCCTCTTCTTAAATTTGAATGAGGCAAAAACATGTCTCTTAGCCAATCACATCCAGCGCGCGCCTTTTCAAACGGAACATAGGAAAGGCAGGTTAAGCGCCAAAATTTACAATTTTTATCAAGCGAACAACATATGTCATTGTAATGTGTCATTGTTGCCGGGATGATGCCAAAATATAGTGGAAGACACGGTATAAAGACGATAGTGGCGAAAGACGAAAGAAAACAGTCTGCTGAAAGTGTGCTTGGGAGGAAAAAGTTAATTTTCGGTCTTAACCCACCGGAAGTCCCACCTATCCGGAGGGATTGCCTTTCGCCGTAACTTAGTCTGAGACTTGATGGACAGATAACTGTTCCAATCAGAGCGGGTCTCGCCTTATATAAACTGGTTGAGCTCCCGCTTCCTCACTCCTCCCTAGGTTAAGGTCTCCACGTCCCGATGGCTCGCACGAAGCAGACGGCGCGCAAGTCGACGGGCGGGAAGGCGCCCCGCAAGCAGCTGGCCACCAAGGCGGCCCGCAAGAGCGCGCCGGCCACGGGCGGCGTGAAGAAGCCGCACCGCTACCGGCCCGGCACCGTGGCGCTGCGCGAGATCCGGCGCTACCAGAAGTCCACGGAGCTGCTGATCCGCAAGCTGCCGTTCCAGCGCCTGGTGCGCGAGATCGCGCAGGACTTCAAGACCGACCTGCGCTTCCAGAGCTCGGCCGTCATGGCGCTGCAGGAGGCGTGCGAGGCCTACCTGGTGGGGCTGTTCGAGGACACCAACCTGTGCGCCATCCACGCCAAGCGCGTCACCATCATGCCCAAGGACATCCAGCTCGCGCGCCGCATCCGCGGGGAGCGGGCCTGAGCTCCGTCCTTCCTGTCCGCCAACAAGGAAACACAAAGGCTCTTTTCAGAGCCACTTCCCTCCTCCCTGGCAGGGGCTGCTGCACTCCTACTGGCCGGTTAATAACGCAGACCTCAGCGCAGTATGGAGGGAAATGGGGACGGGTTCCTGGCCTTCCCTCTAGAACTTTGGGTATCTATTCCTTTCTTCAACCAATTGAGTGTAAAGATTGGCATGCCTCACTGAGTTTAGTGTTCACATTATGGTTGCCATTTAGGGAAACTAAGTTGCTTAAGGAACTGTTGCTTGGGACACTAGCAGTTGTAAAGGCAACAATGTATCTGCAAAGGTAGTCTCCACTTGGACCTTTGTTATCCACGTGGAAAGAGGTAAAGGGAAGGAATCTGTCCACAGGAAAGGGTTTCACCGCATCCCCTAACAAGGGGTTCAGAGCATAGATATTGGCACCTCATCCCGTAACAAGGGGTTCAGAGCTTAGATATTGGCACCTCCTTCACTCCGGATATTCACAAATGTGGTAGTCATGAAGACGTTTACAGTTTTCAGTTTTCACACGTTTTGTATATGAATCTCACAGTAACTCTCTGTACTCCCTCTCCAACTCTAAAAGGCCCTCAAATATTGGGGATGAAGCCCATGCAGTTTCCTTTAAACATCAGGGAAGGAAAGGAGATGGGAAATCAGCTTCCAATGGCTGTAGGAAAACAGTTGAATTAGGGTTATTCTGGTTTTCACTTGCCTTAGTGGCCCAAATGACAGTTCAGTTCTGTAGTTTATTCACTTTTAAGGGGAAAGTCTTATTTTTTAAATTGAGACAGCTGAGTAATATAGGAATAGTTTTCAAACTTCAGTTTAATCAGATAATAATGCAAATTAAAACCTTGAAATACTGCATAACACCCAGCAGATGATCAAAGTCAGAAAATTGGGTTTGCCAAGCATTGCATGAGGGGTGGAGAAAAGTTGTTTACTGATGTGGGGGCTGGGTGAAAAATGTGAAGGGATTAAAGTAAAAAGATTTGGGAAATGCCAAGACAAGGAAACAGATCAGAAACGAAAGAAATGGAGGACAAAAAGCAACTGCATATAGAGTTCAAAACCACACTTACAAGGTTTTTCAAGAATTTCATAGAAAAGGCTGATAAAATAAAGGAGACCTATGAGGATATGAAAACGGATCAACAAGAAATAATAAGGGATCAGCCGAGACCGGTTTGGCTCAATGGATGGAGCGTCGGCTTGGGGACTGAGGGGTCCTAGGTTCGATTCCGGTCAAGGGCATGTACCTTGGTTGCGGGCATGTTCCCAGTGGGGGGTGTGCAGGAGGCAGCTGATCGATGACTCTCATCGATGTTTCTGGCTCTCTAGCTCTCTCCCTTCTTCTCTGTTCAAAATCAATAAAAATATATTATTAAAAAAATAATAAGGGATCAACAAGAAATAAGGAATCAACAAGAAATAAAGAATACGTTGTCTGAAATTAAAAATATATATATTATACAGAGTCTTAAAAACAGAATGGAAAATCGCAATAATCAAGTCAAAGAACATAAAGAGCCAGAAGACACTCTGCAGAAGTAAGAAGACAAGAGAATCCAGAAAGTTGAAGATAGTATAAGAAACCTCTGGGACAACTTTAAGCAAAGCAACATCAGAATTATTGGGTCCCAGAAGAAAAGAGAGAGCAAGATACCGAAAACATACTGGAAGAAATAGTGACAAAAAACTTCCCCCACCTGGTGAAAGACTTAGACTTACAAGTCCAGGAAGCACACAGAACCCCAAACAAAAGGAATACAAAGAGGACCACACCAAGACACATCATAATTAAAATTCCAAGAGTAAACGACAAAGAGAGAATATTAAAAGCAGCAAGAGCAAAGCAGGTAGTTACCTATAAAGGAGCACCTCTACGATTGTCAGCTGATTTCTCAACAGAAACCATGCGGCCAGATGGGAATGGCAAGAAATATTCAAGGTGATGAATAGCAAGAACCTACAGCCAAAAATAATCTACCCAGCAAAGCTATCACTCAGAATTGAAGACCAGATAAAGAGCTTCACTAATAAATAAAAAAAAAAAGCTAAAGGAGTTCATCACCACCAAACAAGAATTATATGAATTGCTGAAGGGGGTTCTTTCGGAAGAGAAAGAAAATAAAGATAAAAATTATGAACAACAAATACATAACTATCAACAATTGAATCTAAAAACCAAGGGAATTAAAAAAAAATCTGATGAACAATATTAACTGGTGAATTTAATAGAATCAGAGGTTTGGAAGGGGAGTGAACTGACGATTCTCGGGGGGGGGGGGAGGAGAGTGGGGGGTGTGGGAAGAGACTGAACATAAACTGTGCACCTATGGATAAGGATAATGGGAGGTGGGGAAAGGGCAGAGGGTGGGGTGAGAATCTGGTGGAGGGGAGCAATGGAAGGGTGAAAAATGAGGAACATTTGTAATAATATGAACAATAAAGATTTATTTAAATATATAATCTTTAAAAAAAACAATGGAAAAATATCCATTTTTTAACATCCATTTTGGATTTTTTTTTTCTTCAAAAAACAGACTATGGGAGAGGGAATGGGAGGAAAAAAATAAAATAAAATAAAAACATTTGGGAGTCATCAGTAAATAAAACTATTTAAAGGAAATAAGTGCCTACAGATCTCTCCTGGTTTTTCCCTGCATCTTAATCTCTAATTTAGTGCCAATATCCAATTTTGGGTCATTTGTGTGTATACATCAGAAGCCCTGGATCTGGCAATGCTAATTTGGTGCTGGAATTCCTGTACTTTCTTTCAATTTCTAGTTCTTTAGCCCTCAGCCCAGAGGTTATCGCTTACACATCTGATTCCTCCCTATGTTTCCTTAGCATCCTGTCTACTCTTCTTGCTCCATTGTGCTTTATTTGCTTTTGTGTTACTCCCCCTTATATGGAGTTACTTTAGAACAAGCAGTGTCTTACTAACATATTCTTAACTGGTGGGATCTAAGGGTGAAGTACATTATTTGTCAAAAGTATAAATGCATTACAATTTTAAAAAAATACAGAAGAAATCGTCTTTGTGCCTACATTTCTTGAAATGGCAAACTGGGAAGTGGCCGAAATGTTCCCACCTTTTCCAAGGCCTAGATTAAAAGGACCTGGCCATGCTGGTATAGACAGGAGAAACACACCACAATGTTTGACCTCTCTTTTCTCAAACGAGCCTCAGCTTTATTCAGAGAAGTTTGTTCATATTTTTAAAACTGTAGGTCTCCACCATCACTGCTCTTGGGATCCACTCCTTAGCATCTATTATACTAGTCATTGCTACTGTAATGGACAATCAATGGGTCAGTGCTGCCTGTCATACGTCAGCCAATTCATCAGGGACAGAGTTGAATCTATACTGCTGGCAGTATGGGAGACCAGTAGGTCACCCACAAAAATCTGCTCTGCACCCCTCCATAAACCAGCTGCTTATATTGGGTAAGACAAAGATTACATGGGAAGTAAGCTAAAGGGTATGGCAAATGGTCTGTTTACAGGTAATGCAGGCTGGAGATTTGCAAAGGCTTGCAAGTATGAAAATGCTAGGGTTCTTCAAAGCGCTGGTAGTTCTGGTTTCCCTAACAAGGTTGTTCATCTTTTCCTAAGAATAGGCTGCTCCCTGATGATTACAGGCTGCAATTCCATTGAGCTCCCAGGTTCCACCTGCAACTCCCCACCAGGTTAGAAAGTGCCTTCTTTAACCAGAACAAAGCAATCATGGGTAACAAAGCATGGCTAATATTTCTTACACTTACAGCTGGTCCCCAACATTGTATTTCTGCCGCCATCACTGTGACATGCGGACATCTAGCATGCCTTATGCAATACATATATTGTCAAGTAGTCCTAGAAATCAGGTGCTTTAACATTAAAGACAATAACTGATTCAAGGTTCAAGATTCGCCACCTTCCTAATGACACACAACTGGTGTCTATGGAAACCACCCCTGCTCATGTCCCAAGAGATGCTCAGATTTGGTGACATGTGTTACTTAAGCTTACTTCCGGTATGGACCTGGGCGAACATCTCGAGCACAGCGGTGGAAATCTAGCACGTCTAGAACACAAACATGTCAAATTGCCTGCATCGCAAAAGCTGCTGTGTGCCAATTCTGCAATGTGGACAAACTGAGGCAGACAGTGAAGGTGCCTGATGTTTACTGAATAGGAAAGAGGTGGAAGTGATTGAAAACAAGTAGGTCGTTTTGCCTTTCTGGTGACTATGAAAGGGCCTCTGAAAAGTCCTTTTGTTCACTTGCTTCCAAACGTGGTCTTCACTTGGCCTTGTGGTTGCTCTCGGTCTTCTTGGGCAGCAGCACGGCCTGCTTGTTGGGCAGCACGCCGCCCTGCGCGATGGTCACCTTGCCCAGCAGCTTGTTGAGCTCCTCATCGTTGCGGATGGCCAGCTGCAGGTGGCGCGGGATGATGCGCGTCTTCTTGTTGTCGCGGGCCGCGTTGCCTGCCAGCTGCAGGATCTGGGCCGTCAGGTACGCCAGGTATGCAGAGGAGCCCACCCAGACCCGCTAAGAGTAGTTGCCCTTGCGGAACAGGCGGTGCACACGGCCCACGGGGAACTGCAGCCCGGACCGCGAGGACCGCATCTTGGCCTTCGGGCGCCCAGACATCCTGACTACAAACTTCACTGCAAGTGGCTGCGAAAGCGAAAGTGCTCGGGCGGCACTTTTTATAAACGTTTGTGGCGCGAAAAAGCAGATGTGTCATTGGTTAGGGTTTCAGCTACATCTTAACCAGTGAAAGTGCAATTTGGGATTCTGGCGCTCTGATTGGGCAGAGCTAAGTTTGTAGATTGCTCTCCAATAACCAACAGACACAGGACTTTGGTTCATCACCTGATTTGCATGCGAAGTTGTATATAAATAGAACACAGCATTCCCCGTCCTTACTATTTCTTCTACCGATCTCCTCCATCCAGCTCCCGACCATGCCCGAGCCCGCCA